AAATTAACAAAGTGAAAAGCATATACCTTTGAATCTTGATTAAGGTCGAAGGAAGTTCCCTTTTTTTAAGGAATCAACGTCACCAGAGAAAAAAGCAAAATCACCAATGGCCAACACAAATAAGCAGCAGCAGCTCTATACACTTCCAGAAATTCAAAACAGTGGCCAATGTGGTGCTTCTTTTCACTTTCCTTATTTTTCTGGGTTTTGAATTTTCAGACCAAACAAATTTATACGATTGGCATTTTTTTCTCTCTGTGCAGACGAGGATTAGAACGAGTGACTCACATTCATTGCTGTGAATCCACACACAAAGAGGGCCATTTTGGCATTTTCTAGTGTTAAAAAAAGTGTATTTTTATATGTTGGAGTTGGAGGCCTCTGTAGTGGGTCCCACTTCTCTGTGGCCAAGTTTGGTGGTTGGCTCCACAAGTGAGGTATCTTTTTCCTCCCTTTCCAGCAGATTCCGAATTGCACCATGTATCTCTTCATCTCTTGTGTTGTGCTTCTATTTTTCCTCTTTTTTTTTTTAATAATAATAAAAAAAAAAATACAATGCCGTGGATAAATGACATTCACGATATCCTAATTCCTAACAATGACCAATGAAAAATAAGGTAGAATTTGGTATTGTAACCTCACTTTGTGACAAAATAAGAAATAATATAATATACTATAAGTTAATTGACTTGACTCGGTCAAATTCGACATGGTGATAGGGTCGGATTGGCCCGTTGATGCGGTGGGTCGGACCCGTTGGCCAATCTAACCTAGGCTCGTTGGTCAGGGTTGGCTAGCCAACATCACAATTGCTTTTTGCAAAAAATTTTATACTCAATGGCAACCAAATTTGTTCTCAAATTTTCTGTTTCTACTGATTATATTATTATACATTAATCTATTACTATATAATAGTGAGAAGAAAAAATGTTTGAAAAATTATTTCATTTTACCGCTCAAATCATTTTTTCCCTCCTAAAATTTTGTTTGAAATTTTTTTGAACATTTGAAATTTTTTCATTCCGAAATTCAGTATGTTTTGAATGAGTTCAATATATTTTGGATGAGATTCCTTCCATATCGGATAAATTCAAGTTCCTTTTGATTAGGGAAAATAGATTTTTATTTTAGCAGTATATTTGACTTCTTTTTTTTTCAACCGATTATGTTTATCTTTTGTTTAAAATTGAAAAAAAAAAAAATTGTTTAAAGGAAATATTACAAACAGATTTTTTGGGTACATTCCATTTTATCAAAATTTGTTTGAATTTATATTTTTATTTATTAATATTTTAAAAGAGAAACAATAAATGTTTATCATAGCTTTTATTTAAAAAATAAATTTGAATTATCATACCTTATACTTTATATGAAATTCAAAATTACATATTTTAATATATTAATAAACGTTTATTATTTATTTTTTCATTATGTGATATAATCGAAGTTCGATATTAAAAATTTTAAATTCAAACATTTAATGAAAAAGATCCTAAGCAGATTTTTTGGGTACATTTCATTTTCTCTTAACTTTCATATAATCACATTTTAACAAATTAATTAATACAATTACAATTATATAACTGGAATTTTTAAAATATAATTAAGATAATATTTTAAATAATTAATCTTTTGTTTAACCGAATTTATCTTATTAACAAAATTGCCAAAATTTTTGAAATTAAAATAATAAGATTATTCTTACGGGTATACTTACCAGAATACTAAAGACTTTAAAAACGTTTTGAAAACAAATTTGAATTATTCCGTCTTCTACTCTATTTGAAATTCAAAATTAAATTTTTAAACATATTCATAAATATTATTATTTATTTTTCCTTATGTGATATAATGTAAATTTGGTTAAATAATTTTAAATTCAAACATTTAAAGGAAAAGACCATGAACAGATTTTTTGGTTACATTTCATTTTATCTTAAATTCCATATAATCACAATCCTAACAAACTAATTAGCATAATATTTTTTTACCCACATTTATATAATCGGATTTCTTAAAATATAATTAATATAATAGTTTAACTATTTAATCATTTGTATAACTTGATTTAACTCATTAACAAACTTGCCAATTTTTTTTTGAAATAAAAAAATGGATGATTTTTATTTGTAAAATAATAAAAAAATAGTTTTACTTTAAAGTCTGGATTATTTTCATTACTTTTTGTACGTTAACAATCATATCGGTTTGATAATATTCCTTAAATAAAAAATATTGCATAAAGAGAAGTGTTTAATAATATATATTTTTCATTTTTTGCATTTATTTTAATTTCATAATAGACGAGATGTGAAAAATATAAATAATTATATTTAAAATAAAGTCTAAAAAAAAGTTTAAAATATGAGCTCCTCCGTGCATCGCACGGGATATACACTAGTTAATGCATAAAGCGTGGATATATTTTTTTTGTACCGTTGACTGCATCTCCATGCCTAAAGCGTGGAGTTGACTACTATATATTACTGCATGAAATTTGGGGCGATGAACGATATAAAAAAATAATTGGCCTAAAGGTTTCTTATAAATATATTGAAAATATATATTATAGAAAAAAATTATGTGAAATGGTATTTTTGTACGTCATGTTGGTTATAAAAATATAAGAACTATATATAAAATATCTTAGTATAAATAAAATATAAAAGATCTTTTACTTTTAGGGTTTTCAACTGATATTTTTGGTCGGTCTGATGACAAAATTTGGACTATTGGATCGTTTTGACCTTTGAGATCCAACAATCCGATTTTTTTTTCTTATATATACAGTTCGAGGCCAGGCCGGTTCAGACCCATAACCGGAACTAGAATCGTGGCGTCCTACATCAATTTCATTATTCTTTCTATAATCTCTTCTCAATACTCTCTCATTTCTCTCATTTGTTCTATNTTTTTTTTTTTTTTTATAAATTTTATTAAAGTTAAAAAATATTCATATATTTACATAACAATCCCCATCTTTCATGCGTTTGCATTAATTCTTGTGCAGGAATGTACAATCAAAAGGTATCGGTCTTTTAGTGCTCCACAATTTTGTTTTGGCCAATCTCCCAGCATTTGGAAATTATTCTTCAAGCTCCAAACAACCTTAAAAATAATACAATGTCCAAATGTCATTTCTTGACCACAAAATTCACTTATAATTACAAAAAACTACTCTAAGGCTGGGAGTAATTGCAGAATATCCCTGACAAGCTTAGAATCGAAGAAGATAACAATTTTTGGTTTTCGAATTTGCCTTAACAGAATGTACGTGACTGAATTTTCTGTATGAATAGAAATGTGTTTTTCAAAAGTATTTTTCCCTTTTGAAAAGGAACAATCAAAGACAAAATCAAATGGATTTTTTTAATAATATCTCAAGTTAATGTCAGCGGTGAATGGTGGTGTTTGTATTTAAGCAAACACAATTTTTTTACAAGTCAGACTAACGGGTAGGCAAATTGACCCGTCACACCTTTTTTTTAACAGAACTACATACTTATGCTAGAAACGTTATACTTTTGTTTATAATGTTGTTAGAGTATAACATTTCACATATATCTATTTAAAAAGTAACGGTTAGTTCTGTTTAATAGCAGTCTTATTTAATAAGAGTACCTCTGCAATGTTGATGACGAGCGCCTGATATAAGAAAATATAACAAAAGAAACAAAAAAAGGATCAGTAATGAACTAAGGCTAGCTTTAACCTATAGAAACTTGGCTAGAAATTTATTCTTAACATATTAAACTTCCATTCAGGCATGTGTAATTGCAGTTTATGCTAATTGGATTTACCTTTTTGTGACTTGTGGCTTAGGTTTCTCCTTTGTTTCCTGTTTGGGAGGACTTTCTTCTATCTTAACTGGCATATCCTTCACCTGTAATCAGTTCATAACAACTCTTGAATGATATATACATAAGCTTTATGTATTAATAAATGTGACTACAAAAAAAAAGTACATACCAAGCTCTTGAATTGAAGATTGTAAAATGTCTGAATATATCTTCCCTTAGCCTTCCTCTCTGCATTGTACAATCTCCTCCAAAAACTATATACGCACCCCATTTTCAAAACTTTGTTCGCGTATATCTTCCACGTATAGCTTAAAACAACACAAAAACGAAACCATTTTTACGCAATCCAGCTAAAATTTGCGTACGTAAATTTTTTTCGTAAATTAAACTTACCATTCTTGTATACGTTGAATCCCCTGCATCGATACCCTGCCCCAATAACCCTCATCTTCCTTACACTTCTGAAAAAAATCGGCAATCTTTTCGCTCGACTCATCCCCATTGTTGGGGTCGATATGAAATCCCGAGACCCCATCGACAATAATCTCGGCAGGCCCACCTTGATTAGTCGCGAAAGTCGGCAAACCACAGTTCATTGCCTCGATAACCGTTAAACCGAACGCTTCGTAAAGTGCCGGTTGAACGAAGGCTCCCTTTGTATCGGCTATGGTGCGGTAAAGCTCGCCGTTCCTTTTTTTGTCGGTTTGGGCCGATATCCATCTCGTTTGTCCCTTGAGTTTGTGGCTCTCGATTAGCGCATGCATTTTCTTGATCTCGGAAGCTTCTTCTCGGTCGTTGGATTTAGTGGGGTCGAAGAAGCCTCCGACTATGATGAGGTTGACGAGGCTTCGGAGTCTCTTGTTCTTGCCGAACCAGTCGAGTAGGCCGGTTATGTTTTTTACCGTGTCGAGCCGAGCCATTGAGAAAATGATGGGTTTCTTCTTGTCATCTAGGTATCCACTTTTTTTAAAACAATAAAAAAATTAAAAGATCAAGAATTATAAAAGAATAAAGGAAAAGGAAAAACATAAACATAGTTTAGGGGATATTTAATGTAATTAAAGTATAGTTTAAGGTAAATGAAGTATGGAGCTAAGATTCCTAATGTTGGTGTAGGATTTATAGAATAGGGTGCAGTCCTACGCAGGTGAAGCCCACCATAAGAGGGTGAGTCTACGTGCACCATAGTGAAGTTTTATCTTAAAACAATGATGGGAGGAGTAGTCCACTAGGCGATCATTTTCTCTAGGACAACTCAGAAGTGATATTCCGATAATTGGACAAAAGGTTTTCATGAAATATGGGGAAATTGAAGCTTTTCTTACATGTGGTCGTCGTTTTCAACTCGGCTAAAGAGGAGTTGTTCGATTGCAGGACGGAAGTTTGTGAAGCGATTCTGCTTGTCCGAGTAAGGGAAGTACACGGTTTGGTCTGCACCTGGTGAAGCTATGTTGAATTTCGGGTCGAACACGTTTATTCCCGACACGACTCGGTAAAGCCCGGGAAGTGTGAATATTGTGTGGCTTTCATATTGCCCCGGCCTTTCTCGGCTACAAAAAAAAATAATAATAAATCTTAGTTTTCTTGAAAAAAGTTCGAATATTTTGAAACTTTTGCATTCTAACGAGCATTTTTGTTCTTTTTTTTTTCGAAAATTGTACCTGCCGGCAATTTCTTGGTACGTGCTTGTGATGATGAAATCGGCTGTGTTCATCGCGATTAAATCGGCCGTGAACTGGCACGAAAAGTGGTACTTATGGTCCAACTCCTTCCATTTCATGTCCGAATCTTCGTACTTTGTCTTCTCCAATGCATGTGCGATTGTTCCCTTGTTCGAAAAAAAAAATCGCACTATTTATTTCATTTGATTTTATATACAAAACTTTCGAGGACAAAGAAGTTTGTTCATTTTTTACCAAAGTCGTGTCGAGTTTACTAGCCATAAGCGAAGCCACGAGGTTTCCATCCGTATAGTTGCCGATAATCAAGTCAGGCTTTCCTTCCATGATTTCCATGATTTTACTACAAACATCCTGTTAGAAAAAAACATAAATCGTAAATTTTCGAACCATTTTATTTATCCGATAGAATCCATCTCAATTCGTATCATTCATTATTACCTGAGTATACTTCTCAAGATATGGATATATATCGAACCGTGAGATCCACTGCCGAACAACAACTTCATTTTCTGTTCTGAACGGCACTCTCAGTATATGTGAGTGCTTAGTGTTCATAACCGGCTCTAACTCAACGTCACACTTATTCCCCTTTGCATCGGGAATGAGCCGAGTGACCTCCATTAATACAAAGAAAATTAAAAGTAGTATCATTTTTCGAGTTTTTATAGATTTTCTATCGAGTGGAAAAAAAAATATAATTCTTACGACAAGAATCTGAGGCTTCACGTAGAGTCCTTGACGTTTAATCCTTTGAAGTAGTTCCTCTTCGAACGCGACCACTTGATCCAACACATAAACCACCTACCGACAAAGAAAAACATATATAAATTTAGGAATTTGTTGCAATTTCAATCGTCAAAGGACAGAAAATGCAGCAAAATATTAAATTACAAGATCAGACCAAAAGGCAGAATGTTAGAATCTTGGAGAAAATTTGCTATGACGTTAAATCAGCAAGACTAAAAATTGCAATTTAGCCTTCGAAGTTCCTTAATTTATTTTTCTTGTTTAGTGTTAAGTATTTACGATAGTTAGGCCGTAAAATATTTTTCTACCTGGCCACCGGTATCTGGCAAGCCGAGAACATTCGACTGCCCGAAAAATCCATGCACAGAAAAAAGCACGACGTTGAAAATTATTGGAAGCCTCTCGAAAAAACTGTCGATATTGGTAGGATCAGGAGCTTGCAATATTTCCGAAAGCATGTGCATTGTGTCTCGAACTCTTTCGGCATTATCACCCCATCCTTTCTCAAATCCCCACTCTTTAAACCTGCATTTGATTTATTTATTAAAAATTTNATTATATAATCTTTAAGTAAGATTATCATACTTCTCCTTGGTGGTTTAGTGTGAGTAAGTAGTCGATAAGAGAATTCGCACTCGTGGGACTATTATTATTAATCTTTGAAGTAAGAAACTTGGTAATGTAGCTAACTCCATTCCCAATCGAGGAAGATAAAGTGAGCCGAGGCAGAGTGAAGTCCATTGCTCCAAAATCGATTTCCAATGCATTTTCATCATTTGCCCTGCAAATTAGTATTCAAAATTTATGCTAGATAAGGTTCTTGGTTGATTTAGAATTTAGGCTAACTCGATAAATTTATACGTACCATTTCTCATCGACTGTCATCTCTTTATATTTCAAGTACTCTTTTTGCGTGAGGCCCTCGACCGACAAATCATTCGCGCCAACTTTGACGTACTCCCAAAATCCAGGAGACGGTCTTACGGCAAACGCAACATGTGGAGGAACAATTGCTGCTTCCTGCAACGGATAACAAAAATGTTAATTTTTTTTTTTTTAAAAAGAAAAAAAAAGGTAAGGAAAATTTTTAAATAAGTTTTGTACCTGAGTCGTGCACAAGATATACCCGAGCAAGCCTTCTAATAACCGAGTCCTTTCGTCCTTATCGTCTATGACTTGCTCCATTTCGGACATCAAATCGTGAACCTTCATTAACCTTTTACCTTTTTCGAGATACTTTGCAAAGCACCTTTTCATGTGGTAACGGCTTTGTCTCAAGGCCTCGGGCATGCTGTCAGCTATCGAGTCTGATCTCTTCATGGCTTGCGGCACATTCGAAGCCATATTTTTTTATATATGCTGTGGAAAAAATCGAACAACAATTATGAGAGGTTCTCTTCTTATAGGGAATTTTTTAGACTTTTCATGCAATTTATAGGTAACACCAATTATGAGAGGTTCTTTTGGGGACAGTGGTGTTAGGATGGGAGAAAAGAACAATTCTTTTTGGTAATGAAATGGTCAAAGAAAGGAATTTTGGTCATTTTTTGAGGTAGAGTGCAGAGGTAAAGATAAAGTGTGGCACTCAATAAAGGATTATAGTTTGATTATATATCATTCTTTTCTTTCCTTTTACAGTACCTTATAGGAAGTACACAAGTCTCACAAAATTAACCAGTAGCTTAGTATTTAGGAAGTACTAGGAAAAGAGAATCTAAGGATTGTGCATAACTTCTCTAGTGGACAAAAGATTTTTTTTATTGTTTGTTTTGCATTTTGGAATAGAAGTCATTATGCAGGCAAGTTCATAATATAAGAATGAAATGTCATAAACAGAATTATGACCAATTCATAATATAAGTATACATTTTGTGTTTTTCTAATAAAAAAAAAGAAGATATAACAAATTGACATGCCTAACGGTTACACTGTCTTATACAAGAATTTGTATATCTTAAATTGTCCCGCCCAAAACAGATTTAGACAGAGTAAAATGTAGTTGATAAAACGCCAAGTTTTCATTAAATTAACAAGTCATAGATTGTAAGGCTTGGAGGGCTCCATTGTTTATCGACTACAACGCCTCGTAGCTAGCAACTGATGCTAAAGATACCATATTAGCCAAAAATACAGAAACAAGAATTGAGAATTTTGGAGAATTTAAAAAAGAATTCTCCAAGAAATGATTAAGCTTTGTCCAATGTGGGATTCTTTTTTACATTTCTAACCAACGGTTTGCTTTAGAACGAATAGTGCAGAAAAATTTGACAACATTAAACTCGAAAAAATAAACTAACATCCCCTGTTTCTTGTATTTCGGAGACCGCATTACATATTGTAGTCTGTAGATGGCAAAAAGAAAAAAAGAAAAAAACAACAGTCAAGATTTGTGCTCGAAAATCATCGTGTTGATATTAAGATATGGTAATGTGATTTTTATTGGAGAAAATGACCCAAAAATATATTTCAGTTTTACTATTTCACGAAGCTTATATAATTTTACCAGTTCAGTCAGAGCACCCACAATGCATTGAGTCTAATTTTACATATGTGGCATATAAATAGACTTAAGTCCTAAATGACATGGACAAATCCAAGTAAAAAAACTCAAAAGTTATTTAATGCAAAAATAAAATACTAGGTTTAACAACATGTCAACCAATAAAAATGCTCTAATATGTTTCCTTTATTAAAAGAAAAATTAAATTAGGAATAAATGATGAGTGTTTGAATTTGTACTTGGGTCCAAAATAGACCCAAGTGTGGATTTGGTCTCTTTTTTTTATTGCCACATAAGCTAGACCATGTCCACTTTTAATTGCATTGGCAGACATTTTTTTATAGACTAAGTCTATTTCCTATGTGGCATATTGATGGGTCTACTTCTGGATCTGAAGAGGATCGATGGTTTTGAACTCAGATCTGCTTGAATCGCCTTCGAACCGTTGCTAGACCGCCGCAAACACCTGCAATAACTCAACGCCGGAAGTGTTTCCGGCGTATAGCCTCCGACGCTCAAGTCAGTATGTGAAAGAGATGAAGAGAGACTGCTCTAAGAGAGCAGCAGCAGCAACTATAGAGGAGAGTGTGAATGAATGGAAGTTAGGGTTTAGGGTTACCTCACCCCCTTTATATAGGAGTAAATACTTACTTGAAGTATCCAAAATGACCTGGTCGGTTTACCTGAAAGGTCTAAATTACCCCGGTCGGTTCATCTCCCCTCATTGCTGAGTCATGACAAGATTCCTTCTTATCCATAAGGAGGACAAGAGACTCCAAAGGATATCACGAGTGGATTGAGTCGTCGGTGTGTTTCGTGCCTCGAGGTGCAAGGAGTCGACCTCGAGTACTAGGAGGTCGACTTAGGATCTTCTGCTTACTCATAGACTACGCTCTTGTTGGTCTTCTCAAGTAGAAGTTGACTTTTGGGGGTCGACTTGCATGGATTCCGCGTATCCTCGTGGTCCTTCTATGAAAGTCGACTGCTCGAGGTCGACTTCTTGGAGTCCACTTGCATGGATTCCGCGTATCCTCGTGGTCCTTCTATGAAAGTCGACTGCTCGAGTTGGACTTCTTGGAGTCGACTTGCATGGATTCCGTCTTTTCTGGCGGTCGCTCTGTGAAGAATCGACTTTTGGGAAGTCGATTACAGTATGTCGACAGGAACATGTCGAAATGTGGTCGATCTGAGTAAAGGGTCTTTGGGCCGGTATATCATTATATGGCTATATCACATATGATATTTTATTAAGAGACCCAATGCATTGTGGGTGCTCTCATAGTTATGTTTCCACGTTTCACAATTTCAGTCTCCTAATTCACTTCCATTTTTATTTTTTTAAAAACAATTTTATGTATCAATTTACTAATTAATTAATACCTCTATAATATTCGCAGGCTTTGCAGGTTGATCCGGTATTAAGACGAGGCGGATCGACTGGTAATTCTGGTGAGTTGAATCTTTCGACGCATCATGAAATTGTTTTTAGGTTCAGTATATTCAGGAATTATATATACGGACTATGTGTGGAATTGTTTTTTTTTTCTCATTATGTAAATAAGATTTATTTTATGAAGAAAAAATATAATTGTGTCTTTGGGTACCACATATTGTTTAAATTGGAATATAAACCCAAATGAACCATTCGTTAAGAAAAGCCCATATAAGGCTGGCCAATTTGATTTCGAAGGCCTGTTTAAACAAGTGATCTGGTCTCATCCACTTCAAATAGAGAAAATTGCACACCATACAATATATATCAGTTTTAATTACATAAATGACACTCCATTGCAAATATTAGCAAATATACAAGATCTCACCTTTATAATTGTAAACTTACCAGATAATTAAGTCACCGTAATTAAAGGTGACTTATCACTCTCTCTCTCTCTCTCTCTTCTTCTTCTTCTTCTTCTTCTTCTTCTTGCTATGTTTTTCTTCTCATACACCTTCGATCTGCCTCTGTTTTTTCTTCTCATTCACATACACACATATATATAAAGGTCGAATCTTTAATTTAATTTCGATCGATTAAAATAAAAAATCAACGAAAGAGAAAAAAGTTGTTTTCATTTTCGGACTTGAAACGGAGCTGAGGCTAGGGGCTTCCCGGAGGCAGCGAGGTGGAGAGGAACGAGATGAAGAGAGTGTTTTCGGATATCTCTAGCGTCGGTGGCAGCGGCTGGGAGGAGGAGGAGAAGGTAGAGGCGGTGGGAAGTAAGAATCAGGTGGTAGGGTGGCGGTGGCGGCTTACTGGAGAAAAAATAGCTTCGGCCGGGCTAAGATGTACAGTCGCTGGATTGGCCGAACATGGCCAAATGTAATTTTTGTATATGTTCTGTATATATTGTGTATTTAATGACAACATTGATCTGTTGTATTTTCTTTTATGTCGACTGTGAGTATATATTCTGTATATGTTCCCGACAAATATACTGTTTTTTTAGTATATGTTAAGGTCAACAGTATATTTTTAGCACATGTACATGAGTACGATTTCAACTTGTTTTATATACTGTAAATATACATGATTTTAGCAATTTGTTGTTTTTTTGTTGTTTTGGTATAATAGAAGATTATTACAACATATATTGAATATATACGTTTAATATACACTATTAACATAATGCGATGATAAAAAATAAACAAAAAACAGCTCGACAATTAAAAAATATGTGTGTTTGGCGAAATATGTTTTCAGTATTGTGGGATTTGTGCATATCAAGAAGAAAAAGTCGTTTGTAATTAATATTCATAATTTTTCTTATTTGTATTGAACAAACTCCTAATTAATAGGATATATTGACTTACCATGTGTATATATGCAAGGAGAAAGAGAGAGGCGTTGGATATTGACTTACCATGATTTAAGGACAATGATCCTTGTTTGTTGAGGTAACTGAAATATAGTATTATTACAAATTAATTGCATGGATTTGGTATGTTTGAAATTAAATTACTCTCATTCGTAATCTTGTAATAAAGAGAAATTCGCTGTGTATGGATGAAATTTTCCCAATAGAGAAAATTGGGCTGCAGCCATAACATTTCAAATTCTAGCTATTTGACCGCGCGTCGCAACGCGGCAAAATTAATATTAATATTTTTCCTCAACTAACCCCTACTAACTAGTAGTAGTGGCGAGCAAGGGTCGATCCCACGAGGAGTGTGAATCAAATCGTGAATTTTCTCGTATTAATTGAAATTATAAAAAGCGATAAATGGGGGGTTTTGATTTAATAACTAAACTACCTAAAATAAATAAGATCTAAACAAATAAAATAAAAATAACAATAAATAAAATAAGAGAAAGCTTCTAGTTCACGGTTCCGTCTACACCCTCGACTGACTTGTCTAATCAATTCTGGTATCAAATCTCGCTATCTTATGAAATAACTAGCCCTAGGCAACGACACGGTCAGTTACCCGAATTTTTCCTTATTTTTAATTTAACCGCGAGACGCTCTACGATTAAACCTGACTTCTTGTACAGTCCAGAAAAACGTTTTCAAGATTTAATACAATTAGCCGCTTTACGAATTAGAAAAATAGGCTAGACTAAGTAGTGAACTCAACCGCGTTCGCTCACTTAATTAGGCTGTGTTACCCCCGGTAGTTACCATCTTCCGGTTACCGCTTATGAAGTAAACACAACAACAATTACGGATTGCAGGTCTAATTCAGATGTAGATATGAAAAGCCTAATCTAGGTGATCAATCTAAACAAGACTAACACATCATGGTGAATTATTCAAAATAACACAAGCAATTCCAAAAAGATATTGAAATTATCAACCACGTAAATTAATCAAACATCGTCAAGTCGTAAGGTTCAACATCACCA